GGCCGCCTCCAGCCCTGCGCCCGCTACACCTGTTCCATGCCCGCCACCCATGCCGCGTGGACCCGCGCGCTTCTCGCTCTTTAATTTTTCCTCTCCCCTCCCATCCTAGTTTGTACTTTACCTCTCTGGTCTCTTTTGTTTTTCTTTATGTCTCTTTTCTCACCCTTTTAATAACTCCCTTTAAACCGCCCCACCACACCAGCCAGCCCCCTCTTTCCCACCCACTCCTCCCGCTACAGTGCAGTTGGCTGTAATGTAACCTCCCACCCTCCTGCTCCCTTCTCTCGGCCCGCCGCGATGCCAAGACCAGTGGTGGGGGGCTTCAGAAATGATCTCTCCCCCGCCAGCCTGCTCCCAGGTGGTGTGCCCTCTTCGCCTGTCCTGGGACTATTTCAGCTGAAGGAGGCTTTGAGCAGCTCTATGCGGCCTCGGCAGGGCCGGTTCCCAGCCCCTCCAGCCTCCTCCAGCCTCCTTACAGGCCGGATCTGGGCCCTAGCCAACTCCCAAAGCTCCTGCCCCATCTTGACTGCCTCAGAACACTCCCACTCACCAAAGCCTGGTGATTATGCTGGGGCATGCTTATCTAGGGTACTCAGTGTTGTAAAGGCCAAATCCTGGAAAACAACCAGGGTGTGATACTAAGCCTAGGGGAGGAAAGACTCTGGGTTCCTGCACTTAATTAGGCCCTAGCTGCCCTGGGGAAATGGGTCCTAATCCTGTTCTTCCCCAAGGCAAGGGGGGAGTGAGTGACCTTGGTGTCTGGAACAGGTGGCTTTTCTTTGCTGGGATGTCTTTTCTAAATGCTCTTCCTTTGCCCTCTCCCACAGGACACATAGTATGACCATTAGGTGTTCCGTCTCCCAGCCATTTTCTATGGAAAACCAAGGGGATTGGGCCATGATAGCCACTGGCAGCTTCAAAGAATGGGACGTCTTTAGAGAAGCTTGATCTTGAAGGCCTCAGCGTGAGACCTGCAAAGCCGGGTAAGAGTCCATTCTACGGGGAAGGTCTTCTGCCTGCTGGCCCTGTGGTCTAGGGGCAGGAGTCAGCAGGACAGTAACCAAAATAAGTGCCACCAAGACCCCAGTGAGGTGGCTCTTCACAGTTCACAAAGCACTTTCATACATCCCTTAAACTAACCCTGACAGGCCAAGGTAAAGAGGGAAACTGAGGCCTGGGTAGAACAGCAATAGGCCCAGCGTCCACCTGGGGGTCAGCAGCAGGGGTGGGACTGGAACCTATTCTTCTATAACTTCATATTATTGGCTCCAGCTTCTAACTATCCCTGAGACTGAGATTAGTAACTGGGTATACTCGGTGGGCTCTGATTTATTTGCTAGAGACTATAAAATATGATTCACTTTTTCTGGGCTTGACTTTTACTTCCTCATCTTAGTAGGGTCTTTAGCATAGGTGACCTTTGCCCCCATGCCCACCTCTCCGAAAGACCTGACTTTTGGCAAACCCAATGCAACACACAGAATGGTGGCTGAGCCTCTGTGCACTTGTCTTTGAGCTGACCGCAGCCGGGTCACAACCCCCAGCGGCCCAGCTCTAGGGCAGAATGTGATAGACTCATGTCCTATCTCCAACACCCAGAGAAGCAACACCATTTGTCAGCACCTTCCAGAACTATTTAGCTGGCGCTGGCATGGGAGAACTTTCTCTGTGAAAGTCCCTGCCTTGGCTGGGGCTGAAAAACAGCTGGGCAGTAGAGGAAAGCAATTAGCATTCGCTTTGGGGTCTGCAGACCTGGCCCTTACTAACTTCCCTGCTGTAGCTCCCACCCACAGGGGCTGCTCCTAGGATTGAGTGCACTAACAGTACTCCCAGGCAGTAGCATGGGGAAGGGGTGTCAGAGTGGAGGGTAGGAGAGCAGCATCATCAGCCCCTTCTGCTATTTGAGCATCGGTCCTCACTGAGCCTCGTGTGAACCAGGTTCCCGGGAAACAGGAATAAGGTCAGGTCCTCCCTGCAGAAGCCCCCATACAATTGCCATGGTGTGTAGCCTCTGGATTACCCTGTTGGCCCCAGCCACCTGGGGGGCCACGCCCAGGAGGAGGAAGCTGGGCGAGCTGTTTTTTTCCATGGGTCTCTGTGCTCACAGCTGCCTCCCACTACATCCTCCCTCCCTGGCCAGCTCTTCCTCTTCAGCCCCAGCCCGGACGACTGCTCCTGTGAAGTCAGAGAAATGTGCTCAAGGGAAGGGGAAGAGGTGGCCCTCCCCACCGGAGTGCCGGGCTCACTTCCTCCTGGGCGATGGCGAATGTGCTGTCCAACTCTGAAGACAAAATGGCACTTCTGGTTTCCTGTATCATTCCTCACAGCTCTGACCTGCACCTCCTCGTCCCCACCTCTGGGGGGTGAAGGTGTGGATTCCCCTATGTTGGAGGAAAGTGTTGAGAGGAAATACTTAAACTAATACAGCTAAATTCAGCAGAGCTTATTTGAGCAATTATAAGCCGAACAAAACAAAGCAAACTAATGGTTCTTGAGTCAGGCAGCCCCCCAAACAAGAGCAGGTTCAGAGGACGCCAAGCACTGACATGGTCTGATGGCATTTATAGACACGGAAGTGCGGTGTGGAGGCAGTTCACCCGTTATAGTTTAGTTAGCTGTTGCAGAGCATCCTGCAGTAAATTGAGGCTCAGCTGCTGTAGTTAAACCTCACATGGTTGGTCTGTTAGGATTCATGCAGGACCAAGTCCACCAAGAGGAGACTGGCCGTAAGGGGAGGTGTTACCTGCCTCGCCAGGAGACCCTAGTGCCTGGGTGCTCCCTCATCCCTGAGAACCGCCTGGAATCCTTGAGACCCAGCTAAATGTTACCTGTCTGAAGTGTTTTCTGATCACCCTCTGGAGTTGACTGTTCCTGCCTCTGTCTTTTTTTTTTTTTGAGAGGTTTTTGGTATAGGGCCACGGGGCTCCTGCTATAGGGCACGTGCGCTCGCCAGAAAGACAGAGAGAGACAGAAAGCAAGAAATCACTCCCCAGGGGGAATGGCCATGCTGCAATTCATTCTCCTCCATTCTCCTCTCGAGATCTTGGGCATGCACGCATACACGTCCAGCGTGAGTTTAAGCCACAGGGTCCGGGACTCGAACCACGGTCAACTACATGGGAGTTCAGCAACATAACCATTATGCTAACTGCTGGTCCCCCTGCCTCTGTCTTTTGAGAGTCTGTGCTGCAAGCCCCAAATGCATCGTGAGCCACCTGCCCCCCTCTCCCCCCACGGACAGTAAGCCTCTCCAGGGTGCATCTTGTCGCCTGTGTCTCCATGAGCCATGCCCACCCCAGCGGTCTTGTTGGAAGAACGACTTACAGAGTCTGAGCTTTGTGGGAACTGGGGGAGAGCAGTAGGCAGACAGGCTGGGAAGGAGTTAAATTAGTCATCCTGTCTCTTTTCTTTTGGATTTGGATAACTCCAGATCTACAGAAACCTCTCCTTCCTCTAAGTCCAGAAGTTAAGCCTGTGATTCTGTGCCTGTCAGGTCGTGCTCTGGCTGAAACCTTTCCCCACCTGCCAGCCCTCCAGATAGCTCTGCAGACTCAGGAATGCGGGTGCGTGAGCAGCTTCAGCACCCTCTCTGCACCCCACGGATAAAGGACTGGGGCAGAGTGGCTGTTTGCGAGGAGCACGAGCACAGTCCTGATCCAGACTCCTGATGAAGGGAACCCTTCACAAAATATGGGCTCCTTGGGCAGGAATTCCTCCTTCAGTCCTGAGACCCTCTGGTGCTCATGCCTGTGTTCCCTCGCAGGACCGCTCTGAGTCCTGCTCAGGGACTTGGTGCTGTCGGGAGAGGTGGGAGCAGGGGGGCGTGGGACGCTTGCTGATGGGGTGTCTCCCCTTGGCTCAGATTCCGGCAGAGTTCTTCTATCTCGTCTTGCCGTGACTCAAAGTGCCCAGTTCTCCAGTTTTCCTCCATCCCCTGGGAGTAGCAGAAAATTAGCACCATGGTTGGGTTCAAGGCCACAGATGTGCCCCCTACTGCCACTGTGAAGTTCCTGGGGGCTGGCACAGCCGCCTGCATCGCGGATCTCATCACCTTCCCCCTGGACACCGCCAAAGTCCGGCTGCAGGTGAGGGAAGAAACCTGGGCGGTCCTAGTGTGTCTAGTCGGCCCCCTCCCCAAGGACACGAGGGCCAGCGGGTGTTTGAAACTCTATGCGTAGAGCATGGGATAGCAGGAGAAGGGAGAAACTCTATGCGTAGAGCATGGGATAGCAGAAGGAAGAGCTGCCCACCCCACAGCTACCCTGTCCTGGCCTTGCAGATCCAAGGAGAAAGTCAAGGGCCAGTGCGCACGGCAGCTAGCACCCAGTACCGCGGCGTGCTGGGCACCATCCTGACCATGGTGCGCACCGAGGGCCCCCGCAGCCTCTACAACGGGCTGGTCGCCGGCCTGCAGCGCCAGATGAGCTTCGCCTCCGTCCGCATCGGCCTCTACGACTCTGTCAAGCAGTTCTACACCAAGGGCTCTGAGCGTGAGTGCGGAGCTGGGCCACAGGCCGCACGGCTCTTTTTCTCAGCTGTGGTCAGTCTTAGCTCATGCAGTCACGTAGCTCCTTCAGGCCCAATGTCCCTAGGAGGCACTTGAGGACTGGAGGAACCCCGATTCTCTTAAGGGTTCCTGAGCACCTAGGCTGGGCCAGGCTCTGACCAGGGCACATCCCGTGACAGGCCTCATGACCACCTTGGGAGTAGGTGGTATCACCCCAGTTACAGATGAAGAGACCGAGGCCTGACAGGGAAGGAACTTAGCCACGAGCTCACCTCAGGGAACCAGAAGTCACACCCAGGATCCTCGCCTCCAAGGCCAGCAGCCTTCCGTTTCACCCCTTAGCATGCCACCCTCCGTTTCACTCGGGAGGACACTGGGAGCCCAGGACAACAGGTTGACTTTCCCAAGATCACATGGCAGGGAGAAGTAGATCTGGGATGAGAACCAGGGACGAGTGTGTCCCAGTCTACCAGAAAGCCACTTCTTCCTAAGCCTTGGCTTACACATCTACGGGTGGAATTGATTCTGTTCAAGGAAGATGTTTGATGAAAGCAGACAGTAAGCCTGGGTTTTGTCCCATCCTTGCTGTGTCCCTAGCAAGCAGCAGATGTTCGCCATGTATTATCTGATGTGAGGAGTTCTCAGAGCAGGTCACAGTGCTCTGGGGTGCAGAGAGGTACAATGGGAAATGAGTGTAGGCCCAGCTGGTCGCTGACCCCTGTGTCCCCACAGATGCTGGCATTGGGAGCCGCCTCCTGGCCGGCAGCACCACAGGAGCCCTGGCTGTGGCTGTGGCCCAGCCCACGGATGTGGTCAAGGTCCGGTTCCAAGCCCAGGCCCGGACTGGTGGTGGTCGGAGATACCAAACCACTGTAGAGGCCTACAAGACCATCGCTCGAGAGGAGGGCTTCCGGGGACTCTGGAAAGGTGTGTTCTGGGGGCTCCCCTCCCCCATCTTCTTCACTCCCCATTCCTTGGACTCACGTGGGCTCTCCTACCTGCTGTAGGGACCTCTCCCAATGTTGCTCGTAATGCCATTGTCAACTGTGCTGAGCTGGTGACCTACGACCTCATCAAGGATGCCCTCCTGAAGGCCAACCTCATGACAGGTGAGTTAGGGGAGAATGGTGCTGGTTCTCACCTGTCTCCCAGCCCAGGAGTGGGTGTGGGTGTCTCTTGCCTGAAGACCACATCTATTTTTAAATTGCCAGGGGGCACTCGTGCTTGCCAGAGAGAGACAGAGACAGAAGGTACCTCCCAGTGGGGCGCGGTTATGCCGCAGTCCCCTCTCTGTCTCTTCATCCTGTCAGGAATTTGGAGCATACGTGGGTACATGCGCCTGGCGTGCTTTTTAGGACTCTGGCCAGGCTGATCATGGGGATCCGGCTCCCTTAACCACTAGACTGTGGGCAGGCCCAGCCCTCATCTCATGTAGAATGAGTTTATATCTTACTTGCCATGTCGATGAGGCCAGCTGGGACAAAGCTCCTACTTGGGTCATCGAGGAACTGAGGCTAGTTTAGCAAAGTGACTCACGTGCTCAGAAGACCAGCTGGAGTCCCTTAAAGTCACAAGACCCTTAGCTACGTAAGTAATTCTCTTTTCCCTGGAATGATGGTGGGGCATCCTGATGGCCTTGCCCCTCCTCCTTGGCAGATGACCTCCCTTGCCACTTCACCTCCGCCTTTGGAGCCGGCTTCTGCACCACCGTCATCGCCTCCCCTGTCGACGTTGTCAAGACGAGATACATGAACTCTGCCCTGGGCCAGTACAGCAGCGCCGGCCACTGCGCCCTTGCCATGCTCCGGAAGGAGGGGCCCCGAGCCTTCTACAAAGGGTGAGCTTCTGGCCCACCCACCCCACATCCAGCCTCCTGCTACTCATACCTGTGGCTGAGGTGGGGGAGAACCACCTGAAAGTGAGTGGCAACCGAGTGTCCGACTATTTCCGGGCTGGTCCTGGTCTTCCACCAGAACCCTTGCCTACTCTGAACTGCCTTCAGGTTGCTATCGTCCCTATTGTACAGGCACTCAAATGGGGACTCAGAAGGGTTTCTGCTCATAGCCATAGCTGCGAGGCTGGGTTCCCCGGGGCTTCCCAGCCTCCTCTGGGACAGAGCAGCTGGGTTGGGTCGGATGCCGGGGCCCAGTAGGGTTAGCGGGAGTGGAGGTGTCCTATGACTGTGTTTTCTTTCCTCTAGGTTCATGCCCTCCTTTCTCCGCTTGGGCTCCTGGAATGTGGTGATGTTTGTCACCTACGAGCAGCTGAAACGAGCCCTCACGGCTGCCTGCGCTCCCCGGGAGGCTCCCTTCTGAGCCCCTCTGCTGCCGGCCTGACCACCTCTGGCTCTGGCTCCTGCCAGGCCCCACTTCCGTTCTTCTCCATCTTTCCTTCCCTTCCTTGTCTCCCACCTCTTCCTTCACTTTCCCAGCTCCCCTCCCTCCCACATCCTCACCCCATCCCTGCCTTCCACACCCCACACCCCACAGCCTGCCCGTCTCCAGTGCTGGTCGAATTGATCCCATTCGACAGTGCAGGAGGCCTGGCACGAGCCAGCAGACCCAGCCTTCCTTTGCTTGAAAAGTTCAGCGTGAATCTTCTTCCTGCCCCATCCCAGCCAGCTTGTCTCAGCCATAAAGCCCACTCAACCTCAGCGTCTCCTCCCTCTCTGTAGCTGTTCACAGGGGTCTTGGACCAGTGGGCCCTTATGGCACCTGGTGGGCCGGGGAGGAGCCAGTTGCCTTGGAAAGGCAGTGAGGCCCACCTTTCACCTCCAGCACCCAGTCTGGAGCCCGTGGAGGCCACCTGGTCCATGTCTCTCCAGACACAGGCCCTGGCTGAGGTCGCAAGGGCAGGAGCAGCCACAGGGACAGCAATGGCTCCACTCCACCCCCCTTTCTGGGGCCAGGCCCCTTGAGCGCCTTCCCACTAGGACTTGGTACTCAAGTGCCCACTGCCCGCCTTCCCACCCCAGCTGCCCTCAGCCTGTAACCCACAAAGTGAGTGAGCTCCGCCTGCCCTGCAGCTTCTGCGCTGCTTAGAAGACTTAGAGGAACTGGGAATCCGAGATACCAGGGGCTTTTTAAAAACTCCATGTTGCTAATGGGAAACCCACCCCCCGGAAGTCCCAGGCCCAGTGAAAGCAAGTGAGCAATGAGGCTGCTCCCTTTGGCAGCGGAGGAGGAAGTACTGCTGCACTGGGCAGGCTCAGGCTGCAGGGCAGACCACCCTCTGCTTGAGGGCACTTCCCTTGGGAGTGTCACCTCTGCCCTAGCCAGGCCTCCCAAGGAGGCAGTGACCAGCTGGGGCTTTGGCTGCATAGGGGTTTCAGCCTCCAGTCCCTATTCCTACCACCTGTCCTTGAGGCAGGAA